ATAGGTTGTATTATTTATAGGGTTTTCATCAATACAGTTGTTTTTTATGTTATTTCTTTATTATATTTGTTTTATTTTAGTTTATTTCTTTGAACAATTTTTTATTTATTCCACTGTTTCTGCACAGCCAGGAAACATAGCATTACAAATAAAAAAATAAAACTATTTACTAGTGTCAACATTTTTAGCATCAAGAACATAATGCACTCATCATCGTTGAATGTTATATTGGTGAGATTTAATTTTTAGATTAAAAACGCAAAATAATGCTAGTTTAAAATTTCTTAAACTTACAAAAAGACAACCAAATGCAAACTACAATAATACTGAAAATCATATAAAGTCTAGATTTTATATTGTTTCATTTTATAAATGGAAACGATTTTGGAATTCATAAAAATGTGTAGTGGACGCCAAATGCAGAGGCAAGGTAAGCTTCGAAAGGCTTTGCGGCAAAAGCCCTAGAGCCATTGTACTAGGTTACTGCCACCCTGCCCCGACCTATTTCTGACACTAAAACGGATACATGGAAAACTCCTTCAAAGCAATTTTTACCGTGTGATTTATGACTTTATGGAATACTCATGGAACGTAAACTAATTTAATGACTATCAAAGTGCTATAGAAGTGGTTCGCATATACAGGGTGATTGGTACTCAGTGTGACGAAATTGTTTTGGCGTAACTACAAAGTAAATGCAGTATGATGATGCATATAAAATGTTCCAAGTCTAAAAATTAGCTTCCCAAAGAATTATTTAATGTTTTTCAAAAATAACTATGTTTTTAAACTTAATACAGCTATTTCTCAATTACCTATAAATGGGTTTGAGTAGATAATGTCATTTTCGTGTTCTACATTAAATTTTGAATAAGAATAATACAATTGACCAATGTTTTTTTTTAAATTTTTATCAAACATCTTAATTTTTATCTTTGAATCTATTTTCAATGGAGTTTTTACAACTGATCTTCTGTCATTTTGTATCATTCTTATTCTAAATTTAATGTAGAACACGAAAATGACATTATCTACTCAAACCCATTTACAGGTAATTGAGAAATAGCTGTATTAAGTTTAAAAACATAAAATAATTCTTTGGGAAGCTAGTTTTTGGACTTGGGACATTTTATAAGCACCATCATACTGCATTTACTTTGTACTTACACCAAAAATTTTGGTTCACACTGAGAACCAATCACCCTGTATTATAATAATATAATCCTTGCTTAACCAAAACAAAGGAGGCGAGGGCGCTTCAGGTAAACGAATGGTTGGAATTTAAAAGGCATTACAGTTTAAATTATATACAAAAGTCGAATTACATCGTTTATAATGCTGTCATCTTAAATGCATACACTCTATACAAAAAAAAGTATATATATCTTGAAATTATCAACAGTAATTTTCTATTTTATCTCCATAACAGGATAAAATCTGTACCGTTGTCTGGTCCATTACATCTTCTGTCCAAGCCGAAGGTGGACAATTTATGTTACCTGAAAATATTTTTCAACTGATGTATAATTTTAAATAAGGTTTCCATCCATCTGGGTTTCACTGCATTGGGGTGTGATTAAGGGGGTTTACTTTATAATTTTGTTTAGCTAATTGTAGAATATATGACTATGGAGTTTAAGTAATGATTATGACCTAGTATATCACTACAGGAATATGATTAATAAATACAACAACCGAAATATAACAAAATATGAGATTAGAAAATGTACATGGACTTTTGTCTTGGAAACAATATATTGTATAGCTTAACTGACATTGATATTATGCCAAATTTTGATTTATTTTGACAAAGAAAAATAACACTCAAGTCTTAGTTTCAACATCAGTTTGACTCAGAAACATGCACGCAGGTAGACTTGCGCAGAATGGGTGGAATAATGCTAATCTTCTAGAAGTGTGATAAGTTTCAAGCTCTTAAAGTAAAATAATTTCTGTAATATTTTGTTGAAGAAAGAATTCATTAACTAATGTAAATTTGTATGAATTCAGTGTCTAAAAAGACAAATGTTGCAATTTGGAAAATCCTTTCCCAAAACCATTAACCATTATACCATCATATTAACCATTATAGTAAACCAGTATTCTAAAACCAAAGTTAAGGTTAGAGAGAACATAAAGATGACATTCTGAGAGTAAATTGACTTGGTAAATATTTACAGAAGTTGAAACATTATCCATTAGTCTCTATTTATTTATTCATGAATGAAGGCGTAATACATACATTAGAGTACTTTGAGTAATGTTTAATTTGTGACGAGTAACATTTATAAGCTTTTAAAATACATACAGTTATAACGTTGTACTAATTGTTTATTTATGAAGTTCTTGATCCCCGAATTGTCTGAAAATATATATTTCTACTTTTTTGTGAGACAGGCAAATCATACACATTGTCTATGAAATTTGAAATAGTAAGTATTTTTAATGTACTTCAAAATCAGTATAACTTAGATTTTTATGTAGGCCTAGTACTAGCTTATCCGTCGCGCGTTGTTGCGATTTCAAGAAAGTTAAACATTCCATACAAATCAAAACATGAAAAAAGAAAATTTCTTACAGTTTTCAAAAAAATCCTATTGGTAAGATAATTCTTATATCCTTAAGTTTTAAAATCTGGGGTAAATCATAGGTTGATACATCTACAATTACAGAATCTCTATATTAAAAATATTAGGTTTTCTTTCCCGAGTCAATTTGGCACTTCAACGTGACCGATTTTCATAATTTTGGTCTAAAATTAATATATAGCCTACAAGCACGGATTTGTTATCAGGCAGTGATGGTTTCATTTATTTACTATATTACTCGACCAAAAACCTTAAACTTGATTTTTTTAGAATAATCAGGCCTATTTCAATAAAATATGTATTTTACCAGTTCTAACTGCATTAACCTATTATGGGTGTGGTACGGTATATATGTCAACACACATTTGTAAAAGAACCACCAGTGAAATTCCAGCTTTCATTTAAGTTTGTTGTTCATTTAAGATTATTAAGATCGGACGTACCTGAAGATCGCTGCTGAATCACGAACTACCCAAATTGTTCCAAAAATGGTTTTTGTTTCTTAAAAGATGGGTGAAATTGAATATTTATTTCCAAACCTAATCTTAGAAATATTTTAAAAAGTCGGTTATTCATTAAATATTTTACTTAAATAGTCATATAACAAATTTACATATTTACGAATTTTCGAAAAAAATATGGCAAAAACTTATCTTGCTAATTAAAAACATGATTAATATAATCGTTTATCTTCATATAATATTCAACCACAATGTTCTTGTGTAACCTAACCAGTAACAATTTGCTGTTATAAAAATAGCTAAAAATTCGAAAGAATGTTCATATTGTACTGTATTAACTAAAATTGTTTTTTACGGTATTCTGAAATTGTGCATTAAATTATATCAATATTATGTTTTGTAAGCAGTAATATTTTTAAGGGTTGAAATACAAAATTCTTTACCTTCCTGTTATTTATAAGCTATAATTTAATATTACTAGTGCACCCGTTGCTCGAACTCGATCAATTGCAAACTACTACAGGCGTTATTTCAAAACGAATAACAGTCATAATTTTCAATTAACTCAAAGATAATGTAATCAATCACTCCACCCCATTTATCGAAACTGAAAACGAACTCACTCTGAATACAAACGCTCTTGTGCGTATCATGTGTTTACTATGAACAGCTGTAATTAATACAAATTATTCGTCTATTTAAGTAAACAAAATCTTTTCTTCATAAGAAGTATGTTGGGATTTTGATGGCCTGTTTGGTGAATCCCGAGATTTTTTTATTACAGGAATATTTTAAAGGGGGCGTCTACACAAAAAATATTTTATTTTGACACATCCTTTGTCAAAATCCGTCCATTACTAACGGAGTAGTGTTTCGTAGAAATCGCTTTCAGGATTATATATAAGGATAATAAACTATAATACACAGATTATGTGAATCGTAAAACAACATATTATGGCTTATGCATACAAATCATATTATTTTTGGGCTGGTTTCAAAGATCTAATATGAGCATGGCAAATCACAAAAAAGATCATTGTTGCTTAGCAATCAACTTAACAAATCCTACTGTACAATTAGTTCCTAACCCTATAGTTAAAATTTCAGTAATCATGTCCTACGACTATTACCAAGATCCTAGTCAGGGTTATTATGACATGTATGGAATGGATCCGTACATGTATCAATACGACGAACAGCCTCAGGAACAGGAAGAGGATACGGCGTCGCAGACACTGAGAAAGGAACAGGAAATGATTGAAGCGATAGAATCAAACCGTCTCTACCTTCGAAAAGTTAGGAAACGTTGTGTACAAGAGGATTTCGCTGATTTGGAAAAGACACAGATGTTTCTGTTCGAGTTCCTAATAGAATTACTGGAGGTTAATACAACGAGCGAGCTAGGACTCATTCCAGAATCAAGTGAATCGTCAGAACTTGTTGCCAAAGTCCAGTTCCTCGACACTCCCTGTCTAGAGATAAGAGAGAAGGGGGAAGTAAGTATTTGGGACATACGATGCTTGTAGTGTTTATAATTAATCAACGCGAGTTCTTCATTTTTAAATGTATGTTATCACTATGCAGATAATGAATTCAGTATCTTGGTAGCATTCCGTAGCCAGGTAACACCCATGCGTTATAAAAATTAATGATGGGTTGAGAACACAAAAACGTTTACTTACATACAGTCTTACCAGTCATATTCATTGTAATACAATCCACTAGACAATTATTATTAAGGATAAACGGTGTGATCAGATAATACATTATAAAACATTATTAATAATTTCGTTTAAGATACACAAGAAGCATCCACAAAATTTTAGAAAAGCAAATTGAATATTCAAAATTATGCTTGCTGTTGACTAAAATATATAATTTTTAACGACCCATAATATATATATAGTTTTTAAACTAATATAGATAATTTTAAACTCTGTTTCAGAGGATTGAAGGAAGTGATTCCATAATGGGCCAGAACGAATATTTTGAAACTGTTGGAAATGCTGGGCTGGGCAATGCAATGGACCCTGGAAAGACAGTAGAGACGGACACCAATTCTGTGAGAGGTAGTAAAGGAAAGCCAGACTTGTCTAGTACAGAAATGCCTCTCATATACGATACGAAGTGGGAGAACTCTAGTGGTAACTACTTAAAAATTTAGTCTTTGAATAGGGTAATAGCTATTTACCTTACAAGTGTAGTAAGAGCGTTTTTACATCACGCAGGTGAATGTTGTGCAACGAGCGGAAGCGTGTAACGTACAAGATTTTACCTGACCCGACAATATACAGGAGGTTACGAACAATATTTTTCATTATCCATTTCACTCATTTTCTAACAGTAACGTTCATTTACAAACAAAAGCTAGGTTAAGAAAATTCAACATAACAAAATAAAATTCAAGCACAGCTGATTTCTAGCGTTGAACGTCGTTGGCTCCATAGAGGTATATTTTTTAAGTTAAGCACTCAATGTTATTTAAATGGGTTTCATTACATCATCGAGTGAGTTTTTTTCAACTTTACATCACTCGAGAAGTAACGAAGTTATATACATCACGCTTGGGATAGGGAAGTTTAACATGGCGGGCTAGGTAAAATATTAATTAGCTGTTTAATATAATTATAAGAATGGTAAGCTCTTAAGTCTAGGCCATTTCCAGTTTGACAATTTGTTATATGTGCCAGTTCTAGTTTTAGAATTCCTTACTTATCGAATGTTAATAATCTGTGATATTGAAATGCCTAAAAATGTTACAGGGAAGTCGATACTGTTTTCAAAATCGGCGATTGAGACAATACAAGGGCTAGATCACTCTCCAATAAAAATCCAAGTTTGCCGATGCGCTACAGATAATGAAGAAGAGAAAAAAAATATTTGTGAACCTCTGGGCTACGCGCAAGTTCGACTTCCAGACCACTTCAGTCTTTCCGTACTACAATCCTGTAAGTCAGGAGTGATTCTCCCTGTTTCGTGCATACATAGGGATTCGTGTGTACTTAAAAATGTATTCGGAGTGAAAAAAGGAGAGGTGCAAGTTTTTGTGAGGCTGTCATGTTTTGGAACAGTAATCACCACATCCTTCCAAAGTGTTGGCCGAGATCGACGATACGTGTTTAAACCGAGTCCCCAACCCGGTGTAGAAATAAAAGAAGATTCGGAGATCAACCGTGATAACTTATTGAAACCGATAGTAGCTGAGGAAGAAGTTGCAGTTGGAATAACTATCCTTAAGGACAAGGATATATTTCAGAAGCCTGTTGTTTGGAGAAATAATAACCAAAGTGTTGAAGATACGGATATAGATTTTCTCCCAAAATTCAACCAATTCAAAGACTATTCTCTGAGAATGCCTCGTGCTAGCGATGCTAGTTTGTGCAGGAATGCTAATCCACCAGGAAAGAAGAAAGCATTCTGCGACTGGCATGATTTGGTAACCAAAGAGGTCAAGAATAGTCTAAAAAATAATTGTGGATGTCGCGACGGGATGACATTTCAAACATTCGATGAAACATGTCCAATAAGTGCAGTAACAAAAGAATCACCGCATGGATGCTCACCAAAAGAACGAAAAAAACTTTCAGATAATACAGCAAAACCATCACTAATGGAAAAACTACTAGGGTCGCCAAGACGCGAATCTTTCCCAGGAGTTAAAAAAGTGTCAGAAGTTCCTATGAAACCAATCACCGGATCGGGAATATCGTCTGAGCCTACAGACTGTGACTGTGACTGTGATAGAATAAAGAACACTCTGGCAATGAATCCCATGATGAAATACACTTGGCAAGTAAAATGAACATGTAAGCAAAGTAGTCTGGCAAGAGTTCAATATAATTCATGGATAATACATTACTTAGGACACTCGACGTTATTTCCTTCTTATTTCATATCTTAACACGTTCTCACCCAGCCGTAACTTTCTCGTGTAGGTCTAGCACCACCTTGCTACTGAGTGTGGTAAAATAATATTTGCGTAGGTAATTGTGGGCTCTAAAATACAAGGATTCTATAAAATTAAGTTTTATAGTACCGAAACAAATTTTAAAATCCCAGCCAGCAGACAAACCGCTCAAGGAGAAAAGAAAACACTCAGGAGGTTTAGAATTTAATAGCATCAAATAAAACATTCGCATAACAAAGCAAAAACCATTTTAAAACCAACTCGGTGACGAACATAAAAGTAAATGTCTCATTATACTGTATTCAAACCAAATTTCATAGGTCCGGAGACAAAACTAATACCTACGTTTCTAATACAAGAACAGTTCGTAAAATGCATCCATATCTAAGATTAAACTTATTATCATAAAATCTCCAAAATTGAATCCAAAAAAAACTATCGCTTCATCTCATAATAATAGTAATAAAAGAATCAACAAATAGTTGATTTTATATCCCCCGGAAAATTAAGGTTAATTTCAATATAACGAGGCATAGACAGATTGTAAAAGGGGAAAACTATTGTTTACTTGGCACAAAACCGGGCTGAGAATCAATAATTGACAGCAAAGCAAAGTTCTTTGTGCTGACTCGGCTTCATGAAAGCCAGAATGGTGAAGCTGATTAAAAATCAGAGAGCGAAGTGACACATGTGACACGTTGATGTATGAAGAGAACAGCTGTACAGGGCGACCTAGAAACATTTAATGATCAAAGCCCTGACCTTTTAGCACGTCTGGTGCCAGTTTTACATTGAAAGAGTATTATATCGCATGTAAAACCTGCTTTGGATTTGTTTTGCCATATTTATTTGGTATAAAATAAATAAAACATTTAGTTATGTAGTATACTATAATAAATTATTAATACGTTTATTAGGCTAGGCCTAGTTTCTTTCTTTATTATGCCAAGTCAGTGAAATTAGATTTTGTACCTGTGTCTGAGTCAGTCTTAATGTTTTTTTAATGGTTGGGTTTAAATTATTTAGTAATCATAGGCCTTTTTGACGCCATTTTCATATTGAAACTGAGTCATTTATGATTTATGATATATGATTTAAGGATTTATGATTTAATTTAGGACTTATGGATATAAAAAAGAGGGCCTGTGATAATTTAAAATCATTTGAACTAATCACTTTAAACAATATTAGGTTCCCTGAGTATTTGTTTCAAACTAACCCCAATCACCTTCTCATAAGGTTCATTCCTAAAAATATGTGTATTGTATTTTTGTGAACATATGTTTCCTTTTTATGCACAAAAATAAAACAATGTTTACGAATAGTGTGAAAATGAAACAGAAAATCGGTCCCGTGTCTACGTCTTTCCTTCCCGATTACGGTAATAGCTTCTTCGCTGTAGGGGCATTCGTTAGCGAAATAGGCCTACTATTGCTGAATTACAAAAATCGGTAAAGACAAAAGTACAATGGATTTATTAATGGTTAACAGTAAATCCAATATTTATTACTTGATACCTCAAGTGATCATTACAGTTAATTACTAAACTCAGATATTTAGATTATCAGTCAATTAATTAAGCTCTGGTAATAGACAAATCACATTCATACACGTAAATTGGCAATGAAGTTCTCTTATTTAACGTACGTATCAAATACAAAATCGAAGCAGTCAAATCCGTGAACCAGGCGTTTGCTGTCAGAAATGACATTTCTTTGCCACCACATTCCAACACAATTACCATGTACTATACCATATGGTTTTGAATGAACCAATGAGAACCGTGCGGTGTTGCCAAATCTAATAATACCAGCTGATTTGAAAATGCTTAGTATGTTTTAATTTGTGTTGTCAACAGGCGATGTGGCAACGTCGCACTACCCTTGTCTTTTGATTGGCTGTCACCAACTGCTAACTTACGTGGTCTCGACAATGCATCGGTACATAGGTACCTATATTTTATTTTTCTGTTGAAGAAATCAATAACAGTAATACATTCTAATTCATTAATAATTCTAATTTATTAGACGCATAAGTAGAAAACAGCTGTGCTTTTCTACTTTGATCGTTGTTTGGTACTGTAATGTAATTACATCGTGGGTTATTACAACATGTTGAATCCTGATGTACCAAAATAGGTTTCAAGTTTAAAAATAATTATTTGTGCTTCCAGTTAAGTCATATCAATTGCTAAATGCTGATGGATTCCGTTTCACGAAAAGTGCTGTAAGAGTATGCTACATATTTTTTTTATTTTAAAGTAAAATAAAAATATGCTATTTAAATGAAACTAACATTAGATGACGAGGTGTTTTTATTATGTATTTCCTCAATGTGGTTTGGTGTTAATAAAGTCACACTTTTCCAACTTTACAGTCAGCCAGCCTCTTTGAAAGTAGGTCATAATTTAAACATGCAAAACGATAAAACTGTCTTGCATAAACCACGCTGTTTCACCTCAATATCTCATTTTAGTTAAGTATGAGTTTTATTTCCAAATCTAACAAACACTTTTAGACGTATACATTCCGAGTACCAAATATGATAAATAGTTACAATTTACTGACAGAATTGTCGTATGGATAAAAAATAAAATCAATTGGTGAAATAATTGTATGTTGTTTGAACAGATGTAGTATAGTGATGTAAAAAAAATTAATAAAACGGATATTTAAATAAAAGAGGGGAAGGTAAACCAAGTAGGTATATGAAAAATTTATTCTAAAATCTTTCTCATATTAGCTTACACACGATTTAAAATCAATCAAAACCAAATTTGCGATTTTCAATACTTATCAGATTAAAAAGCCAGAACTTAACAGATTAAAAAACATAAACGTTTATTAAATGAAGTGGTACGATTGAATGTTGTTTCTAAAAACGCCGGCGGATGTGTAACTATTTTATACAACAGATTTAAAGATAAAAATGTTTGTATTAAATAAAAAATTTTGAATTATGTGCTTGTTGCGAAGCACAACAACAGATAACAGATAATAACAACAAACAACAGAAAAAACAGACAATAAATAAAAACTAATTAAGAAAGTAAATTTGTTAAAATACTAACTTTTATTTCGTTAGAACATACATAATATATACATACACGTAAGGATAGATTTGATATCCCTTAATAAAAAACTACTTAGTACAAAACACATTTTTTTTGTGAAATCTAAATATTAAGAGTAAGTGTTATTGATTTAAAATAAATAGATTCGAAATCCCCAATGTAACTATGCTAAAAAAACTATGGATAATTTAGTTTTTAAATTTTATTTGGATTTTTAATACATCAAATAAAAATACGATTAGGGTTAAGTAAAAAAAAAAAACGAGTTTGAAACCTAATATAAAATATAATTTTAAAATATGTTACCATTATATTTATAAAACAAAGATGTTTTTATATGGCATACACATTATATATAACCTAGATGAAAATCAATATTCAACACTCGGTTAACAAAAACGTTCGTCATAAAACATGAGCAAAACAGCGATGTTCGGTGGACGGGCGGAAATAAAAAGCAATGGGACAGATAAACGCTTTGTCTGACCGAAAACTCAAACGGACTAAATATACAGGGTGGTAAAAAAGTCCCAGGACAGTTAAATATTTTTAGAAATAATGCGGATAAAGCTACAATACTTGGTACAAAGTTACAGGGCATAAAACTCTATTATAACACATATTCAGTGATCCAATAACTCTTCAGGGGGACGGCCCAAAAGGAGTCGGAAGAAAATCTTAAATGGAAGCATAGGTCAATATGAAACATGAAAGGTATTTTTAAGTATAATACAATGCCGCAAACCGCACTTCAAAAGGTTGATCCTGCGCAAAATGACAGTTGTTCAAAGATTCATTTAATTTACATTGCTTATACGCATACTCCTCAGGGGGCACAGCCCTAGGAATCGGAAGAAAATTGTTAACGTAAGCATAGGTCGATATGCACATCAAATTAAAGGTCTTCACTAGTAGATTACGATGCCGTAAATTCAAGCTCAAAAGATTGCCTGAGTAAAAAATGGCAGTCGTTCAAAGATTCAAAATGGTGGATTCAAGAAATCTTTGAACATCTGCCATTTTGCGCAGGATCAACCTTTTGAAGTGCGGTCTGCGGCATTGTATTCTACTAAAAAAGACCTTTAATTTGATGTGCATATTGACCTATGCTTCCATTTAAGATTTTCTTCCGACTCCTTGGGAGCCGTCCCCCTGAAGAGTTATTGGATCACTGAATATGTGTTAAAATAGAGTTTTATGCCCTGTAACTTTGTACCAAGTATTCTAGCTCTATCTACATTATTTTTAAAAATATTTAACTGTCCTGGGACTTTTTTACCACCCTGTATATTATACGTAACATAAGTTTTATTTTTTACGTCGTTATGATTTTTATATAACAAAACAATGCAAACTCAATTACTTAAGAATTATGAAATACATTTCAAGCATCGAAAGTATACGGATACCTGATAACGAGTATTACGGTGTAAAATTGCACTGTAAAAAAACATGTATATTCCATATCAAAACACAACCACAACTAATCTTGTTACAATAATGATATAATAATAATGAGTTAGCTTCAATTAAGCGTAAATGTGTCAAGAGATAGTTCTCGATCCAAGGGGTGGTGTCTATTGTCTACAATTAGACGGTACAGACAATGGATTGTACTTCTGATAAAGTGATCATTTGTATTCAGGAGGCTGCTCTACTTCAGTTGATAACAAACTGCTCCAATGGGTCGAACCGATTACACAAGTAATTCTTTTGATACTAAATAGCAATTTAAAATTTTATATTGACTTCATCCGGATTGAAATTAATTTTAAAAGTTTCAATTAACAGTTTCTTAGAATTTCTTTTGATTTCAACATTGAAGAGATTGGGGCTTACAATTGTGATAATTATTTCTAGGATGAGTGCAGATCATTAACTTCTTTGTCGTT